TCCTCGTACGGGGTCCGAACTCGAAGGGTTTTGGACCCCGCAAAAAAATATTTTGGTAGCTAAAAATTATTTTTTTTTTCTGATTTTTGTTTTGTGAGTTCTTTGTTATGTCAGCTACCTGTCTCTCAAATTTGAAGTCATTCTGTGGAGCCAAACAATAATGAAAAATCGGCAAAGATGGTGGTGTCAAAACTTGCTTTCCCACTGACTAATTTGTTTTTTTTTTCTTTTCACTTTTTGTTTTCCCTTTATTTCGGGGCCTGAAAAAAAAATATATTTTTTCAAACTTTATTTGTAGGTTCTCTATTACGTAAGATACATATGTATAAAATTTCATGGCATTTGACAAAGCTAAAAAAAAAAAAAAAAATCGCCAAAGATGGCCGTGTCAAAAACTTGCTCGCCCACGCAATAATTTCATTCTCATTTTATTTCTTCTTATTTTTATTAATATTATTTATTTTTCGTATTTGATTTTTATTTCAAATCTGGTAAGGAATTTGGATGTACTGTTGAGGCAAATGTTTTTTAGTTTATTCTTCTGCATGACATATTTATTTTGCATAATTGTTTTTTATTTTTTTTTTGTTCCGCGTTCGGCCGAACGTCCGAACGCATCGAGAGGGGGTCCCAAACGTTCGGGCGTTCGGCCCGTCCCGGACGCCGACAACCCTGTATATATATATATATATATATGTATTGTTGCCCGGCCGAGCTTGTGGACCCGGGCCACTCTGGTAGCCTAGGATCTATGCTTATTTTTTAATTTGATTATGATTTAAAAACAAAATAGTTTTTTAAATATATTTTTAAATATATTTTGATTTATCTAAAATTTTAAAAAATAATATGTAGATTTATGTTTATTTTTCGATTTGATTATGATTTAAAAATAAATTAGATTTTTTTTAATAGAGATAATAAATGTTGTTTTTTATTTGATCTTTAGTTAAGAATAGAAAACCTATTTACAAAAAATCCTTATCCACATTTTAGCAGAAGATTCATTTTCATTTGACATGTTGTCCACCTGTCGAGTTTGGGGATAGGTAGACATTAAATGAGCAAAATGAGGATGGTTTTTCGCTAAAAATTTGGAAGATATACCGCCATATTTCTTTTATTTTGCACATGTGGTGAGTAATGGAATGAGGCTCATGGTTGTTACACTTTCTTTCTCTCCCTCTCTCTAACACACACATATAGGGAGGAGACCTTAGAGGAATGCTAAGCGAAGAGGAGGTCGAGGTTGGAGATTGAGGAATTGGGCCCAACGACTTGAGGGGTGTATTAAAAAGATGATACATGTTGTAGGGGTAAACTGAAGTTAATTGGGCCTTTTGAAAGTTGGCACGTACAAAGGTATTTTGGAAAGTTGGACCAATACCCGGTAGAGGTATTTTGTAAAGATGGTCAGTCCAACTAGTGCAAAGGGTATTTTGCAAAAACAATTAATTATCAAAAAGGTATTTCGCTCTACCCACATCTTTTAGGGTCATTTTGACATATATATCAACTTTTAGGGGTATAACGCAAACTTCACCCCCAAAGAAAAGAAATGGGCGCGTAACCGACCGGACTATCTGAGTTTGCAGGCCAATGAGCTATTGAAATAGAGACTAGAGTTCGAACCCACAATAGTCAGAAACTATAATTTTTATATTGTCACATTATTTAAAAGCTAATTATTTTAAACCACTAGTACCTCTGCCAATGCTGGGAAATTACAATGTTTGGTTTGTCCCCGAAGAAATCAGGGTGGAACTCAGGGTCGACGAGTCCCATAAATTGTAGTTTTTTTTTTACTTCGCGAGTGAAAGGAAAAGGAAAAAAAAAAAAAAAATTTGTACTGCAATGATATCGGGCAGGGTAGTCTAGGAGACCGTGCTCATAGTCTTCCTTTACAGAATGCATCTTACAGCAAAAACAATCACATTCTGGAACTTCTTGTTTTTTATTTTATTTTAAATTTATCGTTTGTTTGTTATGAGCCTCATGCCAACGAGGCATGGTGGATTCCGTGATTTGCTCTAGCTGTGTTTCCTTATAGGGTTATAACCCTGATGTATCCAACCAATTTCACAGTCGAATCCGTATTACTGTTCATTTTTTTTTTTTTAATTTTTTTATGTTTATAAAATTTGACAATTTGAATCCATGATCTGCTCGAGCTGTGTTTCCTCCGAGGATTGTAACCCTGATCACACTGACACTTAAAGGAACGTATCCAACCATTTTCACGGGCGAATCCGTTTGTTTTTTTTTTTNTTTTTTTTTTTTTTTTTTTTTAAATGGAATCTGATAACCTGGCCACGGGGTTGAGATGCCCTCACTGAGGGCACACTCACACTACCACTTCAAAAAATGTATACAACTGCAATCACGGCCAAAATTTTTTTCATTTCTTTTTGTTTTTTTGTTTTGTGAGTTTCATGGGTGCAACTTTTCTTCCTTTTTTTTATTTATTTTTGTTCTTCCCGTGTGCGTACCATAAAGAAATGGAGTGGGACCCAGGCTCGGCAAAGTTGAACGCAGTGAAATTCAGGGTCGGCAAAAACAAGCTCCTAGGTACTGGTGGTTTATTCAATTACCTGTCAAATCTGGACAAGACAGCCTTTCAGGCCCTTTCATTGTCATTATATTATTACTGGGAACCCCATAGCTGGTAGCCCAATTCAAGCCTCCAACGACGGAACGTGCGGGCACTGCGCCGGACCTGCAGGTGGGTGATACCGCCCAGGGGTCGGCTGGTAGCACCAGGACCGAGCTTCTCCTATGGGCCAGTCGCTGTGCCTCCAATCCGGTCCGCTCCCCCTACGAATATCAGCAGTCTCTGCTCAATGCCCCTCGGGGAGACCAACGGCCTATCTCGAGGTCGCGGGCGCCAAGCTTGCCCAGGAAGGCACAGGAGGCCAATGAGGATTGAACCCAAGCCCTCCTGAATGCCACTTGTGTCGCTTACCAACTGAGCTGCTGGATGAAGCTATAATTCTGGATTGCCTGGGGCTCCACAGAAGAAAAAGGAGAAGGGGGCAAGGTCCCACTTGTGCAAATTATGAGTTTTCGGCCGTTGATCTTCGCTATCTACGGTCAGTATCTCTTAATTCATGCAAGTGGGACCTAGCCCCGGGATAGTGACCGTCTCGCTGCTTCCCTTTTTTTTTTTTTTTTTTGCTGCTGCTTCCTTCTTACCATTCTCTTGTCTTTTTACTTTACCTTTCTGCTTCATGCTGCATGGTTTTCACGTTCAGTTTGGGTCTAGTCTGCGAGCGGCGCGCGTCACGGCAGGCGAAGGCGTCTGAGACAGAAGGCGCGAACCATGCGCGCAGCGGCGTGGAATCATCGAACGGAAAGAAAAAAGGTGGAAGTTGTGAAACTGAAGTACACATGGCGGGCATCGAAGAGAAGAGGGGGTCGGCTGTTTGCTTTTGCTGTTGTTGAGACAGAACGGACTCCGCCGCGCGCTGTTTGCTTTCTGGCAAGTTACCCTGCGCTCTGCAACAGTTGCCGGGATGGAGAGGGAAGGAGAGGGGGGCCGAGATTTCAGTGAAGGGGCCTGGGGCAAGCGAAATGAGCGGTCATTTGACTGGTCCATTCCTGGAGCTGTGCTCACACCAGGCATTGAGCCGTCAGAAACATCCAGGCGTTAGGGCCAGATCCCACTGGCAAAGAGGATTGCAATGAGTGTCTGAATCTGGACGTGTTTGTGGCGAGGTGCATAAAATTGTGATTGATCTGCTTTTCTGCATCCCTGCGTGGAAGACGTCCAGATTCCGACACTTCTTCCAATCGTCCTTGCCAGTGGGATCTGGCCCTTAGTGGGAACTGCAGTTACATACGTCCAGGAAAGGCCGAGTGCGAATGTTATATGCCATGCCACAAGACTAGACGACGGCCCTCGCTTCACTACTCCCTAAATGTGCAAACAAAATGAGAACGAATCTTCCTCTAGAACATGGTCCAATACACCGCCGTATTTCTTGTCTTTTATGCAATGCATGTGGTGAGTATAGTGGAGCGAGACCCGAGGCGGCAACAACGGCTGGCGTCCCCCTCCCCCCCCTACTACTACTATAGTTCTGCCTCATGCCGTAATTAGTCAGACGACTAATCTTCTGACCTAAACATTTGTGATTGTTTCCCTTTTCTGCTTGCCGCCGGTGCATGTTCCGTGGTCTCTCTCTCTCTCTCTCTCTCTCTCTCTCTCTCTCACACACACACACACACACACACACGCACACACACACACACACACACACACAGACAGAAACATGTATGCCTCTCCGCTTTCTCCACCTACCAGTAGCGGCACAGCGTGTGTACGAGGAGGACCCTCCGACCACCCATTCCGGAATCTCCCCTCTTGTTCCGGCCTCGCAGCCTCGTGCACTTTTCTTGTCACATTTGAAGGTCTTCGCGATGTGGGAAACTGGGGGCCAGTTTGTTTGAGCGGGGACGAACGAGACTGATACCGAAGTGTGACTGTTCGACACATGCGTGGCATTTGGTGCAATCGTCCGCGTCATCAGCGATTTGATCCCGGTATCGTTGCTTTTCTTCCATCGCGCTCTTTTCTGCCGTGTTCTCTCTCTCTCTCTCTCTCTCTCTCTCTCTCTCTCTCTCTCTCTCTCTACGTCAAGTTTCGCCTCTCCTCTTCTTTCTTTCTGTGCTTATCTCGGGCTGTTGGTTTGCCATTACCTCTTGCTCATTGTTTTTTTCTCCCTTTTCGTTCTCTGTTCCTTTCCCTTCTATTCTCTCTCTCTCTCTCTCTCTCTCTCTCTCTCTCTCTCNTCTCTCTCTCTCTCTCTCTCTCTCTCTCTCTCTCTCTCTCTCTCTCTCTCTCTCTCTCTCTCTCTCTTTTTGCACCCCCTCTCTCTCTCCCTCGTTTCTCTCTCTCCTTGCCCCTCCTCTCTCTCTTTTCCCCACCACCCCTCGCGAGGTCCTATAGAGGGGTCATTTTCTAGCCTCCACTCCTGCTCGCCTGTGGCGCAGGATAGGAGCGATAGACTGCCGCTCTCCCGTTTGTGAGAGCAGAGTAGTCATCGTAGCTATCGTTCGCTGTTCGCGGCGTTGACATAGTCTATCACTTGTCTCCTTGTCTGACTGTCCAACCGTACGACAGCACGCCCCGATGGGCGCATGCGGGATTTTACGCGTGGAAGTCACGTTTTGACGCTCCTAGGCCACGAGTAAGTCCTCCATTCGCTTCTTTGGCTGCGCATGGGGTCTGTCGCGAGCGGTTTTCCCGCGAAGAGTCGAAAAAGGAACTGCGCTGCTTCGTCTGGAAGGAGTGCGCAGCAACGGAATCTCCCGCCTTCTTCCGCAAAAGGGTAGCGAAATAGAGAAGGACGCCGTACCTCGCCGTCCGATCGCGCTAGTGGTCGTGGGTGCTGTTTTTTTCTTGGCTCTACTGAGCTGCTGCAAGTCGGACCGTTGTCGATGATGTCATTGAAGTTGGACATGGTGTAGCACATGTGGAGAGGAACAAAAGGAGGGAGGTGTAGGTGGTGTGACTCAGTCTTTTCCATTTTGACAAATTTCCCTCACATATTGTGTCTTTCTGTAGTGAATCGCCATCTGCTGAAGTGTTTTTGGTGCCTTTCCCGCCTTAATTGCCTGCCCGTCGTTCTTCTCGTCGATTCGTATCAGTGTTGTCTTAACTCATGACGGTCGCTATTTCGTTCCCCGTCCCCTTTTGGGCGCTTGTCGGTTCTGTTTTTCTCCACATTCCCTTTCTTTCCCTTTCTCTTTCCTTCTTTCGATCGTCCATTTTTGGGCTCTTGTCCGTATTGATCTTTTTCAATCATCTGGCCGGTTCTCATTACTAATATCCACACAGCTGAAACGGACGCAAGTTTATTAAGCGATGTTTCTACAAGAGGTTGTATGAGAGTTAAGAGGCTGCACAGTCTGAGTCAATTACGGGTAGGAGGAAGGAGGAAAGAGAGAGAAACAGGAACCCGCTGTGGCATATGACGTGGGGAATGCTGCTTGTGTAGCAGCTCTCTACAGGTAGTCGTTATCTCGGTCGCAGCTGAGCTCGTTCTGCGGAGAACGCAACAAACAGACTGCCAGTACACCACAGTCCGCCTGTCTCTTCGGTTTTCCTTTCTTTGGTCTGTCCGAGCAGTTTTCTTGTCCCTCGAATTCTCTCTCTCGCCTCTTTCCCCGAGTGCCTTATGTTGTGTATTTACGGGTCCTCATTCTTTGGCGGACGTCGTCGGTGCGCAGTGGGAGGACGTTCGGTCGTGGGTATTCAGGGTGGGCATCTCGCATGTTCAATCCGGTCCGCAAAGGCGCGAGGTGACCTTCTTACTCAGTCAGTTTTGCGAACGTTTTGGTTTCGTTTTGGAGGCGACGGGAGAAGTGGAATAGTCGCAGTACCTGAAGTGAGGGAGGGGGAGGAGCTGGCAGGGAGCTTCTGAACGAGAGGGAGGGCTGAGAACAAGCGGTTGAGGGAGGGAGGGGGAAGGAGAAGGTAGCTCCTGCACGAGAGGGAGGGCTGGGAACAAGCGGTTTTGCGGACAAGTCTGGCATGCTCGTCTTCGGATCCGATGGACGCGATCGGTAGCGAAGTGGCGGTGTTGCGAGAAGAGACATGTCGAAGTTGTGTCCACTGTGGAGTGACGCATTGTCGTCAAACGGAGCCGGATTGTACGTGTTCGAGTCCTTTATGGAAGTCGGAGCATCGAGGGCTAGACAAGGCAGGAGTGGAGGAGGACGGAGAGGACGTGGAGGCGCGCGTATCCGGCGAGTGTCAAAAGCTTGTACGGAGTAAGGAGAGTGAGGCGCAGGGCGGCGGGAGTGGTAGTGTTTGTGAGAGGGGTGAAGAAGCAGGGCAGGAGCAGGCGGCGGATCCCGAAGATCAGCAGCGTAGGCGGCAACAAGAGCAAGGGTTTCATTCCGTTGTGATGAATGGCTATGGCAGTGCGGAGCTAGGGAGCGCAGGGGAGGGAGAGGACGACGAAGAGGACGTCGACGATGACGAAGAGGAAGAAACTATTCATCTTGTGCATAACGGGAGTGGTGGCAGTGTTTTCACGCCGCGCTTTCGCCGACGAGCGGAAGAAGCGGGATGGGATGAGAACGCCTTGTTAATGGGTATGGGAGCGCTGGACGAGATGACAGAAGCGGGAGTGGGAGGAGGGCCGTTGTTTCCGGAGGAGGTAACAGTAGCGGCGGTAGGAACGACAGCAAGAAGTGAAGTAGTGGGTGAGGGAGGGTGGAGGAGAAGGGAGGAAGCGGTTCCTTCGGCGGCAATTGCACGAGAGAGCACCTTGTCGCCTGGCCGTAATCACGGAGCGGATGAGGTGGTTATCGACAATGATGAAGGCGTCGAAGAAGACCATGGAAATCATGCTGTTTCGGTGGTTATGGACGGAGCTGTGACGTCTAGGCAATCTCCTCGTGAAATGGCACGTGGTGCTGAGGATGCCTCAGCCGGGAATGGAGTAGCGGCGAGCGAACGAGACCGGGAAAGGAAGAGGGAGGTGCGAACACCTGGGCTTGCTCGGACACCCGTAAGCGCCGAGAGAAGGTAAGCTCTGCCTGTGCAAAAATTTCCAAATTGGGAGATTTGATCGTTTCTCGTCCCTCCATCTCTGCGCAAGAATTTCCAAATTGGGAGATTTGATCGTTTCTCTTCCCTCCATGTCTTTTTTTCTCTGCGCTTTGTCAGTTCTTTTCACTACTGTCTTCTCACTCGAATGGAATATTATCATGCCTGGATATTGTCACGGTATCTAGACTGAAAGGTGGCCCAAATACGGCTATAATGACTGGGTTATTTTGAGAGAATGTTGACCCAATAAATGCGGCTATAATGATCGGGTGCATCTAACCGGATGAAGAGGTGGTCCCCACTCGTTGGCGTGCAGTCGGTCGTTCCTACTCTCGCTGCTGTTTCGGCCGCTGCTTCTGTCTCATTTCTTCCTTTTCGTTTTTTCACACACTGTCAGTTTTCCTTTTCCCTTGCCTTTTCGCTGCGGTCATTGCTATGTTTCCTCTTTCCATACCCCTGTAACTCGTCTCCCCGGGCGGTATCCCTCTTTTCATATGCCTTGCGGTATCCCTCTCCTCCCTCTCACGTCCTAGTTCTCGGCCCGCCCGCAATCCCTTCCGTTTTCCCGCCCTTTTCTGCTTTTCCCTTTCTCCTGTCGTTTGGCGGCCTTCTTCTCTCTTCCCCTTCGTCTCCTCAGTTCATTCTTTTCTACTCTCTGCTCTCCTCGTCGTTTTCTTCCCTCCCTTGTAATCCTTCATGCTTTTATCTTGTCGTCACGTCGTTCGTTCTCTGGGCGTTCTTTGCTCCTCTCTGCTCTCCTTGTCGTTTTCTTCCCTCCCTTGTATCTTGTCGTCACCTCGTTCGTTCTCTGGGCGTTCTTTTCTACTCTCTGCTCTCCTTGTCGTTTTCTTCCCTCCCTTGTAATTCTTCGTGCCTTTATCTTGTCGTCACCTCGTTCGTTCTCTGGGCGTAGGTGCACCGTTCGCCATCCGCCAACAGTTAAAAATGCATCTGGACATGGAGATGCATTCAGAATCTTGCTGGATGAGGAGTGGTGCAACTAGAGCAGGCCCTTTTCCTTGCGCCCTCGCTTTGCCCCAACGTGCCCCCGGCGTTATCTGTCTTGATGATTCTTCTTGCTCACCTTTTTGATATTTCTCCTCGGTCCTCTCCGGTCCCCCCCAACCCCGCCCCTTCCCCGCGACCATAATTTTCCCCTCCCTGGCTGCTATGTCTTCGCCTCCCTTGCCCCTTTGTCGCTATCTCTCGTTCGTCCTTCGTTTCTCTCCCCTCTTTCCGCGTCGCTCTCCCTCTCTTCCTTCTTTTCCCTTTCCTTCCTCCTTTCCCTGTCTTACTCTCACGCCCCTTCCACTGCGTCCCACGTGGAGAGTCCACAACCCCTCTCGCCGATGACGGAGCTGCGCGCAGCTCCTGTATGCTTTTTCTCGTTTTTGGAAAAAACCATTATTCGCTGCGCCCCACGTGGCCGTCATGGCTACTGCATCACTACCTGGGAATGGCTTTGTGTCGAACTGCGAACTTTCGTACGAGCTTTCGTACGAACTTCCGTACGAACTTTCGTTGCTTTCCTTAGTATGTGCAGCGTGCGCTCGAAAGTCGGTACTGCCGTGAGCGCAACCATAACCCAGTCCGTCCTTAACGACCCTTTCACCCCAAGATAACGCCTGGTCATTGTGGCTGCATCTGGACTGGATGTTGCCCCAAAGAAGGCGATAATGACCGGGCGTTCTATTCCGGTGAAGACGGTAGCCTTCGATTTGTTTGTCTTCGTCTTTGTGCAAAGGTGCTCTTCACCTCTTTCGATACTTCTGGTGGTGGTTTGGTGTTTCCAATTGATTTTGTTTATGACAGACTTGCGGGTTTTATTCGTCTGTTTCTTGCGACTCTTTTGCTGGTCTTGTCGCTCTCTTCTCTCCCCGTTCTTTGTGTTCTCTTCTCTCTCTCTTGCCGTTCCTCATCCGGGTCGTTTACCGTGTGTTTGTTGCTCTTCTTGAATGCCGATGCTTTATTCTTTTTTTCGTTATCGTCAAGATGTAGATGATTAGTGTTTGGGCATGCTGCATCCCCTATCATTTTTTTGATTGCTTGTGTTGATGAAGAGCAGAAAAGAGATCTATTAGTTTCTGCAGGTTTCTTTCGATGCTGCCGTCTGTCTACCGACTAATCTATCTATCTATCTAGCGGATAATCTATATGTCTATCTACCGGATATCTATCTATCGATCGGAGTCTTATCTATCTACCAGGTAATCTATTTACCGAATAATCTATCTATGGACAAGATAATGTATCTACCGAGTAATCTTATCTATGGACAGGATAATCTACCGGAAATCTATCTACCAAATAATATATGTACGGAATAATCTATCGAGAGAATAATTTTATCGACCGTATATCTACCGAATCATCTACATGCGGAATGATCCTACTATCGACAGGATAATCCACCTATCTACCAGATAATCTACTTACCGAATTATCTCATTTATCGGAAAACTTTTTTTTTTTTTTTCTTCCATTTATCGGAAAACTTGATCAACCGGATTGATTCCTTTGTATGTTGATGCCTCCTCCCTTGCGTTCTGTCTCCGTGTATGTTGTTTTGTTTTGGTTGTGTTGTCGTCTGTTTATGTTCGTTTGCAAGACACGCCGGTTCATATCCGTCTTTCTTGTAAGCAATCTGGTTTGGTGTAGTGGTGCAGTTATGTACATCGGTTACCCCAAGACTGGACGTTTGGGGCGGCTCTCTGGAATGCGAAAAGCATGGAGTGCTGCGTCTCTGCGTGTTTTTAAAATGAGAGGCGACCGCTTGGGGAAAAGTGAAGCCTCTTGTGAGGAAGAGGCTAGCTCTTCGGAAGAATGAAGCTTTGTGAGGATGACGTATGATTTTTTTTTTTTTTTTGATTGATTGATTGGTGGATACGTTGACGATGTTTGGTTGACACTGTGTTTTGTAATTACTTTTTTACCCGCAGTTGTTTCGCGATTGCTTTATTACCGTCATTTAGATTGCAATTGCTGTATTTGGTTATGCTCATAGAGTAATAGACGACAGGAGGATCAGTCGATGTACCTGCTCGCCTAAACTCTTCGGTGTAAAATTAATCACACGTCTGGTGATGTGCTTCGCATTGCTATATAATCTAGTCGAGCATTATCGAATACAATTCCGCACCCCATACACGGCTTTGGTAAAATCTTGTTCTCCCTGTTGCCGTTATCATCCACGATGTACGATATGTATGCATATATACGATATGTATGCATATATGGGATATGTATTTATGTATGTATGTATGTATCACAGCCTACGTTTGTTCTGTCTTCTCCCTCTGCCTATGGTTTACTGGGCAGTTCTGTTTGACGATATATACAAGTGGGTCCTTGTGACACACGGGGATGGGGCAGCCAGCGCTCAACTTGTCATCCACGTGGATGGCCTTGTACGTAAGAGTTGATGAACGGGTTGTTCTTCTTTTGTTTTTTTCCGCCTTTGCGCTCCGATTCACAGTGTGGCAATATATATAGATATATATTTAGTGTGACAATATATATAGATATATATTTAGTGTGACAATATATACAAATATATATATATATTGCGCTCTGATTCACAATGTGACAATATATATATATATAGTCGGTGAAACTCCGACGAAACAGTTTGTCACAGCCCCTCGTTTGTTGTCCTCTTCTCTCTCTCTGCCTACGGTTTACCGGGCAGTTCTGTTTGTGACGATACATATATATATATATATGAGTCGGTGAAACTCCGACGAAACAGTTTGTCACAGCCCCTCGTTTGTTGTCCTCTTCTCTCTCTCTGCCTACGGTTTCCCGGGCAGTTCTATTTGTGACGATATATATGACACAGTGTGACAATATATATATATGACACACATGCGACAATATGTATAGATATGTTTTCAGCCTCCTGATGAGTCGCATAAACTCCGACGAAACAGTTTGTCACAGCTCCTCGGTTCTTGTCCTCTTCTCCCTTTCTCCCTCTTTGCCTATGGTTTACCGGGCAGCTAACCTCCTGATGAGTCGATGGAACTCCGACGAAAAAGTTTGTCACAGCCCCTCGTTTGTTGTCCTCTTCTCCCTCTCTGCCTACGGTTTGCCGGGCAGCTCTATTTCGCAATATATATATTTGGCTGTGCCCTTCCTCTTTCTTTGCCTCTTTGCCTTTTGGCTGTGTGCAAGTGGGTCGATATGACACACGGGGGTGGGGGCAGCCGCCGAGTAACCTGCATCCACGTGGGCGGCGTTGTACGCAAGAGGTCTTGAACAGGGGGAGTTTTAAGGAAGGAGATAAAAATGAATTGATTTTTCTTGTTTTTTTTCGCTTTTGCGCTCTGATATCTTTGTGACAACACAAACAAATGCGTTGTCCTCTTCTCCCTCTCTGCCTACGGTTTACCGGGCAGCTCTGTTTGACGATATATATGTATATGTACATATTTTTGTATATGTGTATGTATATCGGGAATATATCGAAGTGGTCGTTCAAATCTCCGATTTTCTGCTGGCTGGGACGTTCTTCTGCTTGCTGCCGCGTTTGCGCTCTGATATTTTTGTGACGATTTTCTGCTGGCTGGGAGTTGTAAGTAAGAAGAAAAAAAATGAATTGATTTTTCTTGTTTTTTTTTTCGCCTCTGCGCTCTGATATCTTTGTGACGATATGTATCCCTCTCTGCCTACCGTTTACCGGGCAGCTCTGTTTAACGATATATTGTATATATTTGCGCTCTGATACTCTTGTGACAATATATATCGTAGACTCTTGTGACAATATATATGTAGACTCCTCTTGTGACTATGTATGTAGACATATTTATGATATACATATTTGTCTGGCGAGTCTCTCTCTGATACGCTGCATTCGTCGCGGTCGTCTCCATCCATCTGTTTGCTGACCAGTTACGTGATTACAACCAACGAGCTTAGCTCAGTTGGTACACCCATAAACTGGTTCAATGCAGACCTGAGTTCGAATCCAGGTCTAA